GAGGGCCTCACAAGCCAGATCTGGTAGGTGACTGCGCGGGCAGAGCCCAGTCCTTGGGATGGCCTTGTGGGCCCCTGCCCCTGACCACCACCGCCCGCAGGCTGCTGGCACTGAGGCTGCTGCTGGGTGCCCTGCTGGCCTGCACTGCTGCCTACGTGTACGTGGTGGACCCCGTACCCTTCGAGGGGCTGGTGCCACCCCTGCTGAGCCGTGCCGCCGTCTGGAAGCTCCGGGCCCTGCTGGGCCCCTTCCTGCGCCTCGAGGTGGATGACTTCCTGCCCTTCTAGGCCGGAGGCCCAGCGGCCCCAGCGAGGAGGAGGCCAGGCAGCCGGCGCTGCCCCAGGTGCCCAGTGGCTGCACCGCCCCTGCCCACGGCACCGCCGCGCACCATCCCCGCCAGGAGCTGTGGAGAAGGGTGGAGGCGGGGTCCGTCCTGAGGGCTGGGCCTGCAGCCGGACATAGAGTCCTGACACAACACATATGGCTGTGAGCTCGTCTTCGTGGAAATGGGGATGGGTGACAGCAGGTCTGATACCTCCTGAGGCACAATCTGGCAGTGGGGCCCCTCAGGGTGAAGCCCCGGCCTCAGGGTGGGCTCCCCACTCATGCCCCACCTGCCCTCCAGGGGGCAGCCCCAGCTCTGAGTCCAGGGATGTGGCAGGAAGGTCCTGGGGCCTCACTCATCCCTGGGCCAGACCCTCCCGGGGAACCCAGAGGTCAGGACTCAACCTTCACTCTGCTGACTCACTGACCCCATGCTTCCCACAGAACCCCTGGCCCCATCCCGTCCCCTCCCCAACCCGGGTCCCTGTCCAGTCCAGGGGACTACATTTGTAGACACAGCTGTGGAGGTAAACACCAAAAGTTTTATTAGGGGAATGCAATTGGGGGTGCCCTTCAGAACAACAGAGAATGCTTGGTGACTCTCACCCCAAAAGGGGAGAAACAGAGCCACCGCTCAGGGCGGACGGGGGCCCTACACAGGAGAAGGGCTGCCTGGGACATCCAGGCCCAGCTGCTCAGGGATGTGGGGCCTGGGCTGCAGGCTCTCTGAGCTCCCAGGTGTGGCATCTCCAGGTAGGATGCCCCAGGTGAGCCTGGGCAGAGCCGGCCACAGAGCTGGGTGGCAGGCAAGGGGTGGGACGGCTCACCAGGCTGGCAGCTCCAGGAAGTTAAGGCATCTGTTCATGTACTGGGAGTGGGGCAGGGGGAGTGCAGAGAGCTGTGGGGCAACCTGAGACCCCCCCCAGCCCAACCCACAGAGGCCTGGGCTCCATGGGGAGGAAGTGGCTTAGTCTAAAGTGCTTGGTTGGGCAGGGAGACTGGGCAAAGGGTGTGCTGGTCCTGGGCCGACCCCCATGGGGTGCCGGGCCCCCTGCAGCAAGTGGGGGACTTCCTGAGGTCACGGGATCACAGGCCCTGGCAGACTGGGAGTTGAGATGCAGCTGGTGGAGAGGAGACCCTCTGCCCACACCCTGTCCCACTCTAGGTCCACGGCAGCCGGGTCTCCTGAGTGCCCCCGCTGGGCCATCCCAGCCCCAGGAGCCACCCACTTGGCATCCTGCTAGGGTCCAGAGAGGCTGGGGAAAAGGCTGGATGCAGCCAGATGCAGGCGGCACATGGCCCCGCGAGGGGGAGCCCCGGCGGATGGGCTCCAGGGGGCCCGCAGCCGCGGGCGGTCCTCGAGGTGGCCAAGGTGGCACAGATGCAGCCCAGGGGGCACCCTGGGCTGGCCACGCCACCCCCATCCACCGCTGCAGGTGCCAATCCGCCCCCTGAGGGCCGCGGCGTCCGTAAGAGAGAAGCAGAAATGTGGAGGTCAGCGGGGGCTCCTACCCCGGGTCCCTGAGCACTGCGCTGGGCCACCCTCCCCACTGTCTTGGCCCAGTGGAGCTGCGGCCTTCCAACAGCTCCAGCCCTGGCACTCGGCAGGCAGGGGAGAGTTCCAGCAGGCACAGCTGCCCCAGGGCCTGAGCAGCTGGGGCCCTGCAGGCATCCCCTCCCCCTCCCTCGGGCTGCAGAGCTGGCAGGAACAGTGTCGATACAGACCCGGGGGAGGGACACTCACACCCACAGTCAAGACCCACCAGCTAGTCCCACCTCAGTAGTAGTCAGTAGATGTGCCCGAGGACCGCTGACCCGTGCACGCCAGGAAGTGCCCCTGCCAGAGCTCAACCCTGCCCTCCTCCCACCCTGGGGCCTGGAAAGAATCAAAATGACTCTTTTTCTTTTTTTAATAAAATTATAGATATATAGATGTAGATATAAAAACATAAAACAGACACAACGCAAGCAGACGCTGTCGTGTGCTTACTCTTGGGCCCTGACGCCAGGGGAGCGCTGGCCCTCCCCGACGTGCTGTGCACGGTCACGCACCACGGCGGGCCAGGGCTAGGAATGCGCATGCCTGGGCGGGGTGGGGGTCTCCAGTCTGACAGGGAGGGATGAAGGCTGGGTGGGGGCTCTGGGTGTCAGTGCCCCGTGGCAGCATCGCCCCATGCCCGCTCCCATCCGCCCTCCGTCGCCTCCCACAAGAGCATAAGCGGAGGTTAAGGCTTCGATGAAGGGGACGGCGGTGGCCGGAGCGCTTACACATGGGACATGGCATGACAGCTCAGCACACAGACATGGGACACAGGCCCGCCAGCCGGGCGAGACAGAACACACAGAGCCTGGACCCCCACTGCAGCTGGCTGTCTGTCTGCTGTCTGTCCACCCGTCCATCCCCACCCAGGGCAGGTTGGGCTGGACTCCCCACAGAGCATCAGCCAAAAGCTGGCGGCAGAGTCTGTGAAAGGCAACGTGTTAGAAGCAGCCTGGCGGGCAGGGCCCTGGGCTGGGAGCCTGGGGCCATGTCGGGAGGACAGCCCGGAGCCCTGGGTACCTCTGCGAGCCTCTGGACCTCAGGGACCAACCTGTGAGGGGACTGCTGGGGTTGGCCTGGTGATGAGCTGGGGGCACATGGGTGATAGGGCAGCAGGTAGAGCTGAGAGAGGGGGACCCGCAGATGCAGTCTGGGTCCCTTTGCTGCCCCAGCCATGGGACATGGTGAGACACACAGACCCAAGGCCCCTGGTGCTTGGCCCTGCCTGGCACGGGTTCCTGCCTTTCCCGTGAGCAGATGAGTGAATGGGTGGGCAGGGGGCGCAGGTAAGCTGTGGAGGCAGGTACTCTTTCCCGCCAATGTTGTCACACCAGGCAGGGTAGCCTCCTGTCCCTGGGGCAGAGAGGTCGGTGGGGAAGCGCTGTGGGGTCCTGGTCCCCGTGGCGCCACAGCGGATGGGTAGCAGTCAGTCCTCACACCGAGATCTCGTACGTGGTCCCACCCACGCCGGACACCTTCTTAACCAGCGTGTGCCGGGCAGGGCTGGCGGAGGGTGCCGGGGGGCCAGCAGCAGGCCCTAGCCGGGCCAGGCCCGGGGACTGCCCGTTAAGCTTACTTGGGGGATTCTTCCGCGGAGGGTGGTCCCTGCATCGAAACAAGCACATACACGCGTGCACACGGTGAACACAAGGGCACACACATGCACACGGTGAACAAGGGGCATGTGGGGACAGAGGATGGCGGAGGCAGTGGGACGGAGACAACGGGAATGTGGACTGGGCAGCCCCTGCCCTCTGGGTTTGGAGGGGCTCTCCTGGAGTACGGGTGAGATGTAGAGCCCGCCCAGGGGAAGGGGCTGTGCCACCACAGGATAGACATCAGAAATGCCGCCACCCTCCCAGGTCCCTCAGTCTCTTCAGCTGCCACTGGCCACAGAGCACAGGCAGCAGCCAGGTACTGGTGCAAAGCTGGGAGCCTGGCGCATACCGTCTGATCCCCTGCCCACTCCCTCTCAGGTGGATGTGCTGTGAGAGTAGTCCTCACTGACCACCAGCACTTGCCCATGCTGCTCCCACCTTCCTGAGGGGCCTCTGTCCCCTAATGCAGGCCTATCTTGCCACACAACTGCTACTCTCTGGGTCTCAGGCTCCCTCTCATCACAACCACAATGGCAGCCTCCCCGTAACTCACAAAAACCAAGCAGGCTCCCAGCAGTGTGTGAGCTGGGGAAACCCTGCTTGGGGCCAGACTGTTGCTCCCCAGCCCTTTTGTGGCCAAGTGGCCTGGGCCAAGGTCTCTCCTGGGGCCTTATCTGCCCAAAAGAAACAACTGAGCTTGTGCCTGGGGCTATGGGCCCAGACTGGGCAATGCTGTGAGGACACAGTGACACGGCAGCATGGGCTTGGCTCCAGCAGGTGGCAGCTCTCCTACTTGGTCCTGGCCCTGTTTTGTTCTCAGTCACCAGCCCACAGGGGTCTGGAGCCAACCTGCCCTCTCTGGGTGTCGGTTTTCCAATCTATGAGCAGGGAAGCCCCCCACTTCCTGGAACTGCATGTCCCTGCCAGGGCCTGGGCCTGGGCACCCAGGGTGGCATGTGTTGCTGCAAGGGAATGTCCCCTTGCCTCGGCCACCTGAAGATGCAGGCCCAGGAAAGTCCTGAGCTAACAGGAACAGCGTGACAGACAGCTCAGAGCCACAGCCCATATAGGAGGCCCATGCTGCAGCAGGGCACTGGTCCCTGAGGAGGCTGGGCCTGGGTTGGCTCCGGAAGAATGAGTCGACGGGCTCAGGAGGCCCTTACCCCCGCTCCGACCCCAGAGTATGCCCCGATATCCTTGGTGCCGGGTCAACCAGCATGGCCGCGAAGGTCAGCCAGGAACCTTCAAGGCAAAGTGAGGCCTGCCCTCCCCACCCCAATCCTGGAGATAGCCACAGGCCTCCGGGACCACCCATGAGAGCCCAGCCAAGAGGGGCCTGACAGGCCGGTCAGCCACCCACTGCCAGGAAGCCCACCCATGCCTCCAGGAACCCACCTCTGCACAGCCAGTGAGGCTGGTGGCTCCGGGAGGTCCGTGTGGATGAAGGCGACAGCTTTGGAGCCAGTGTAGGGTGGTGAGCAGGGTGTGCCAGGGGGAGAGGGCAGAGCCTGGCGCACGGGGGATCTATGTGAGCCACTGCCGGGTCGGGCCCCTGGGGCACTGCCACCAGCCTGGTCAGCTTGTAGGGAGGACGATGACGTCCGCGGCGCTCGGCTCACAGAACTGGACAGTGAGGACAGCGACGTCTGCAGGGCGGGGTTGCGGGCGCCGCCAAAGCCAGGCCCGGCCACAAGGTCGTCTCTGGAGCCATAGCGCAGCACAGGGCCTCGAGGGCCCTCAGACAGCGTGTTGGCCTGCTGGAGGCTGCAGGAGCTAGGCGCGTCATACACGCCTGAGTCGCCAAAGAGTGAGTCGGCCTGCGAGCGCAGTAGCCGCTCACGCTCCTCCCTGTCCCTGCGCTCCTGGATGGATGCCATGATGGTCCTGGACAGGTTGTCATAGCGCACGGGCGAGGGCTCCCGTGGCCGGGGGCCCAGCACAGGGCTGAAGCTGCGGGGTGGGGGCCGCGGCGGGTCTCCTGCTGCCCCAGGATGCAGGTAGGGTGAGCGATAGCTGGCTATGCCGCCCAACGGGTGGGCCGGGCAGGCATGGCTGCCGGGTGAGCCAGGGTTGAGCAGGCTGTCGTAGGACAGGCTGCCGTTGCGGTTGGGCAGCGCGTGGGGGGTGAAGATGCCACGATGGGGTGTGGGGGGCCCTCCCTCAGAACGTAGGGGCTGCAGGGCCACGTGGTCACCACCCCGCCGGCCCGCAGCCTTGAGGCTCAGGGAGCGCAATGCACCCGAGAAGGCATCAGATGTGCTGAGCGGTGGGGATGGCGGGTGAGCCGCATGCAGGCCGCTGGGCCTGTAGTCAGGGAGGTCCAGGCTAGGCTCGGATGCAAAGTCCAGGCTGTGGATGCTGTCGTCCCCCAGGGTCAGGGAGTCAGGGCCCTGGACCTATGGGACAGCAGGCACTCTCACCACTGCCCACCCACCCACCACCTGCAAGCATCAGCCGCTCGCTGCCCACGTGGAGGCTGCAAGCCCAGTGATGTCAGTCACCACAGCAGGGGCAACTGATGCACGGCCCAACATGCTCCTTGTACCCTAGTCATGCCTACCTGCCCCTTGGAGGAATGTCAGAAGAGCACCTCCAGGGGAAGGCTGTGCAAGCCCTGATGCAACCCACACTCCCCAGTGGAGCAAGGGGCTGCGTGGCCACACCCAGGCAGCACCGTGGCCCCAGGAGCTGGGCCTCAAGGAGCCATAAGAGTCACACGGTGACCCAGGGCCCTATCCCCCAAGCACTCCATGGCTGAGCATGGGGACTCTGTAGCAGAGGCTGGAGCCTGCAGCTGCAAATACCCAGGGTCGTGCACTCGGAGCCTACCCAGCCCCAGGGCCCACCATCAGGGTAGCTGCAGAGAGGAGGGGCCTCCTCTAGGTTCTGTGATCAGGATAAATGGGTTAGGGCTGGGGTCAAGAGCCTTAGCAAACTCAAAACCCGAAGGGGGTCTAGGTAAATGTGGCCTTACTGCACTCAGCTGATGGACCAAAGCCTCCATAGCATATGGGAGAGTCACAGGAAGGACATAACTCTGGGGAGGGTGGCTGGAGACCCTCTTCCTGCATGACAGGACCACCACACACATGCCGGGCTCAGATCCTCAGCCAGGGAGACCCATACTCACTGCCCCACCCAGGGTCCCCCCAGGAAGCATGGGACAGGACATGGATCCTGAGGGGAAGAGTCCCTATGGACAGAGCTGGTTTAAGTGCATGGGGCCTGGCCACAGACCCACCTCTCAGGGAGCGTGTAGCACTCTGGACCACTCCCCCAGGCTGCCCGACACTGCCCACGGCTCCACAGTGACCACAGAGCACTCATACAACTTGGGGGAAAAGAACTGCTTTCTCAGACAAGGCTCAGATTCTTCCAAAGCCTTCACGTGGGCCTTACGGAGTGACTAATGGTGGAATTCCAAGCATCCTGGTACATGCTGTTTCAGGGGGCAGCTGCCCACCCAGTCTAGGGTAATGCCGGCCAAGGAAGGGACAGATGCCAGGTGAGACCACCTGTACCAAGACATCAACTCTGCTCCCCTCTGTGAATCTCCGGCTCTGGGTACCTGCAGGACAGGGTCCTGCTGCCCATACAGCAGGGTCCACGGGGTGGGGCTCAAGGGGTGGAACCTTGGGGGCATGGTCTCCATGGGGTGGGTCTCCATGGGGAGGGGCCTCAGGGGCCAGGTTCCTGGAGGTGAGCATTAGAAGCAGGTCAGGCCTCCTCACCTGCTCTCCTGGGCCACAGAAGGGTGTCTTGGGACCCGCAGGGAAGGCTGGCCGGAACTTGTACATAGCAGGTGTTGGGGGGCTGGTCCTCTGCACCGACAGGGCACTCTCTGAGGATATAGACCACTGTCAGACTGAGGTCAGATAGGGTGGCTCTGTGTCCCACACCCCATTTGCCCGACCCCACCTTACCAGCACTGCCCGGGCGCGGGGTCTGCAGGTCACTGCCAAATGTGCCAGCCTCTATTTTGGGTGGCAGTGGTGGACCCAGGTCCAGCGGCTTCTCATCCAGCCGGTCCAGGCTACCCTTGGACTGGGAGAGAGCAGGTCAGCGGTGGGCAGGGCTTGAAGGAGGGGTGGAGCTTCAGGGATTCCTTCCTGCAGCCTGGAACTTAGACCCCTCCCCAGAATCTGCCCAATCCCTCCCCTTCCACCTCTTCTAGGCCCTTGCAACCTGCCTGCTTCCCCCTCCCACCCCAGACCCCAGGCCGGCACAGCCCAGGCCCCCACCTTGCTGCGGCCCAGACCAGCCTTCAGCCCGTTGTCACTAAGCTTGACTTTGAGTGGTGCAGCTCGCTCCAGGAGCTCCGGCCGAAGGAAGGGTGGCTTCAGGCTCACAGCCAGCGGAAGCCGGGGCGGCTCCACCACGTACCTACACGGGGCAGGAGGCAGCGGCTAGGCCACCTGCTGAGAAACGGCAAGGGCAGGGCCCACCCCGCCCAACGAGAGCAAAACCAGCCAGGCTGAGCACCCCAGGCTGCCCACCCCACACCTGACAGAGACCCTGTCCCACCCTGCCCGGGCTGGGCCTCACCGGGGCGCCAAGGGACTGCACAGCACGTGTTCCACATTCCCACAGCAGCCTCGTGTGAAGGGGTTCACGCCCCCACGGAACTTTCCAGTCACCTGTGGACACAGGACCCCTCAGCCAGCCTGGCCACCCAGGGTCCAGGCCAGGCAAGCAGGGCATGGGCAGGGAAGCTGGAGTTCCTCAGAAGCTAGTCCTTGTGGGAGGCAGCTTAGGTAGGGTCAGTCCAGGCACCCCTCACTCAGGTCATCCTGGCCTGCCCCTGCAAGGGGCAGTGGGGCTTCTAGGTCCTGAGTCACTGGTGGCTGCAATGTCCTCAGGCAGGGAACATGCAGGGGACAGTGAAGGCATGCCCCACACCCTGAGTTCCCCTGGCGGTCTCAGGGCTAGAGCCTTTGTCCACCACAGCTGCATAAACCACCTCGGGCAAGGGTTCCTGTGGTCCCGTCCCAGCAGCCCAGCCTGTCCTCATGCAGCCCTGGCCCTCTCGGCCCCCGGGAGTGACCCCACTCCCAGCGGGATCTGCACCTGCTCATTGGTGGTGCGTCCCCGAGTGACCAGCACCACATGGAAGCCAGTGAGGCCGATGACTGGGATGAAGAAGAGGCCAGCCACACACATGACAGCCATGCTAGCCCGTTAAGGCCAACGGCACAGGCGAGGACACAGCAGACCCCATCACAGTGGCACGGAGCAGGTGCCTGTGGACAAATACCCTCATACCCACCTAGGGACGGCAACCCGCCCACTGGGGTCCCCGGGCAGTCAACCAACCCGAGCCTCAACTTCCCCTGTGAAACTCGTCCCTGGCCCACACCGCCCTCGTGATGGGGCACGCGGGGACCGAGGATACGTGATGGTAGTGTGCGCGGCTCCCAGCCCCTCGGCGTGGTTCAGCACATAGACCAGGCCGAAGGCTACCACGCCCACCATGTGCGCGCTGAGTGACAGCAGGAACAGGAAGAAGTAGCGGTAGTTGCGGCGCCCGATGCAGTTGTTGACCCAGGGGCAGTGGTGGTCAAAGTCCTGGGCGGGAGCAGCGCGTCAGGTGTGTGGCAGGCGGGGGCATGGTGCAGGGCTGGGGGCGCGTGGGGCAGCAGGGCGGTCACCTCTACGCAGTTGTCACAGACGCTGCAGTGGGAGCAGCGTGGCGGACGGTAAAAGTGGCACGTGGCGCACCACTTCATGCGGACCTGGATGCCTCGCACGTCCACGTTCTTGTACAGTGGGGCCCGGAAATCATCCTCCTTGTCCTCATCCTCATCCGCTGCAGACCAGGAGCCAGGCAGGGGGCAGGAAGGTGACTCTTCTGGCAGGCGTGCTCCTCCCCAGCCTCTGCCAGTCCACCCACCAGGAACCCCCGGGTCTCCCACGTCACTCACACTCTAGCGAAAGTGAGAAGAGCTATCCCAGCACGGGCCCTACCTCGGGGGAAGACACCAGGGTCCATGAAGGTGGCCATGCTGAAGTTGGCCAGGACAAAGAGGAAGATGATGCCATTGTAGATGGGAATGGCTGGAGACACAGCTCGCGTCAACCACGGGCACCTGCAGTGGGCAATGGAGCAGAGAACTGGGTCTGAGGGTGTGGAGGGGAGGCAGGGAGTGGGGCTGTGAGTCAAGGTCATTCTCAGCTCAGCAGGGAAGCTGGAAGAGACTGCTGAAGGCCACTGGGAGACCCCAGCCACATTGCTCAACCAGCAGAGCTGGGCATGCTAGGCATGGTGTGCAGGTGTCCCACATGCAAGCTCCAGCCCTGCAGCCCCCCAGGGTGGCCATCTGGAACACAACTCTCAGTTGATGAAACTGAGGCTCAGAGAGGCACACAGGCCTGGGGTCACATCATTTAAGAGGGACGGCCAAGAGGCAAGCTGTACACCTACTCCCATGGTGGCGTCCTGGGCTCCCCTGCCTAGGAGAGCAGACTTAAGGTGGGAGCCCAGGATGGGAAATGTATTTGCAACGTCCATGTGCGCTGGTGGACAGAGGCCAGCCCCTCATCTCACCCAGACCTGTACCACCCTCTCCTCAGGGAGATTCTGGGGTACGGGGAGCCCCAATCCCGCTCTTCCCAAGAAGTACATTCCCATCCAGAACAGCCCTCCACCTTTTTTTCTTTTTTGGTTTGTTTGTCACTCCCCAGATGGCAGTAAAGAACACTTGGGGACGCTGAAAATGCACAGCGCCTTCCCCCACCCATTCCTGCCCCACCACCCCTCAGCACCAAGGCTGTCCCCCTTTGGGAAAGCCTTCCAGGACCCCTGCGATTCCCCCCCAACCCCACCCGCAGCCTTCCTGTAAGGGTCTCTCATACTTCCCTAAAGGGCACCTTCCTCAACCCTCACAGGTCCTGGCCAGATCCTCGAGGAGATTCATCAGCCTTCAGGCCACATGGCCTGTGGCCGGCCCCTGAATCTACCCACTTGGCTCCTGAGAAGGTCCTCTGGCCTCAGATGCCCCCATTTGCCCCCTGTCCTCCAAAATCTGGCTATGACAATGGCAGGGCACTAGGGGGTGCACGCTCCTCTCTGCACCCAGGCCCTGCAGCAGCCAGGGCTTTAGGGACAGGTCCACGCGCTGCCCGCTGCCCCGCGCACACAGCCACGCAGCTGCACCCACGCCTGCCTTGGCCAGGAGCCAGCCATGCCGCCCCGGCAACCACCTCCACGGCAGCAGAACTTTGCTATTTTTAGTGGAAAGCGAGAGGCTATTTAAAGACTCTACTTCCCACGGCAGCAACCCTCTGCAGGGCTGGGAGCCCAGCTACCCTTCCCTATGTCCAGGGCCCGGCCAAGGAGGTAGACACTGGCGTGAGGACATGGCTGCAGCCACGGCTCCCTCTGCTGGGAGGATGCCCCATCCCCACCTGGCGTACCAGCCGCCCTCCCCAGCCCACCCAACACACAGGCGGTAGTCAAGACATGTGCATGACCTCCAAGGCAAGGCCCCTCATGAGGACCAGGCCCCAAAGCATGGCCAGCCCAGCAGGGTGGGGCCCAGAAAGGTAAGCCCCAAAGACCAGACCAGCCCGCAGGGAGGGGTAGGGCCACAGACCTCCTGTGCTCCTGAGGAGGGTGGCTATGAGATCTGTGCCAAATGAAAATGACAGCCCTTGTTTAAAAATCATTGAGAGTTTCCAGAGCACTAAATCAAGTGGACCCTCTCGATGCCTGTGGAACCCACCTGCTCTAGGGAAGGAGGGGGCCAAGGGACCAGGGCCACCAAGGACAGGAGAGGAGTATGGACAGGGAGACGATGTGTGGCAGGCCAGTTGGGGTTTGACTCACATAGCTGTGAGGAGGGGAGGCAGCTGAGGATGGAGGCCCAGGCCAGTCTGCAACTGCACACCCGTTGCTGGGCTCTCCGCATGCTTTCTAGCACCCCTGCAGGGCACACTCATCGGCAGGTGGCCGAGCCCTGCACTGACCAGAGCTCCTACTGGCCCAGCAAACTTCACTGCTGTGTCCTCTCTCAGCCTCAATTTCCCCAGCCAGATTGGCTGGACAGCAGCTGGAATGCCCAGGGTGGTTGCAGGCAGCAGTCACACAATGCCGGGGCACAAATGGAAGTCTGTCCTGTGACCTAGCAGAGGTACATGGAGGCCCCTGCCCCAGACGAAAGTCTGTGTGGGGCCTAAGCCTGGTGTCAGAAAGCACTGGAGACACAGGTTCTCTGACTGGGACCAGAACACCGCCCCCTCCACTTCCCAGGATGGGGCATCTTCTCCATCTTCCCCCAGGTAGCCACACAGGGACCTAGACCTGGGCCCCATCCAAGGGGGACTAGATCACAGGCCAACCTGCTGAGGCCTGGAACTAGGAAATATGCAGACCCGTGCACAGACATGCATGAAGACATGTGTGCAAACGTGCATATACAAACTTGCTCCAGGACACACATGCAAGGGTACATGTGTACATACCTGCACAAACACAAACATACAGGCACACGCACATGTGAACACACAGACAACCTGCTCTTGTGCACAGAAGGCACAGCACAAAACACCACACCCATGTGCAAGACATGTACATGCATGGACACTCACATGCACAAGTGTGCATACCAGTGCACACTGGCACACACAAAGAGACATGCCTGCACATCATTCATTCACTGTGACATACACATATGTATACATGAGCACACATACAAGCAGACACGCCCCTCCCACTGCCCCAGCCCTATTCAGCTCTGGCTCAGGCACAGCCTCCCCGTCCCTGGGCTTCCTTCCTCCCCTGTGGACAGGCAAGTATGAGGACACTCAAGGAGGTGCGAGGATGTGCAAGGACATGCAAGGACACTGGGGACACACAGGGACACTTGAGGACACATGAGCTCCATGGGCAGGGCCCGACAGGCAACTGTACTCAGTCTACATATGTGTCCATTTTAGGCTGAAGGAGGCTCTTCTGCCTTGGGGACAACACCTACTCTCACCAAGCCCCACCAGGTGGGTCAGACAGAGACAGGCAGACTTCAGGCCCTGGGCCACAGGGGCGTCTGGCTGGCCGGCCACATTCCCATGAGCCCTTCCTGGCTGGCTCCAGGCTCACCACGAGTGGATGGCAGGTCTGGGATGCCCGGCTCGAGGCCCTAAGCCGTCCTCCAGGGCCACAGGCTGGGACACACGCCACTGCCATGGGCCCCACCTGGGCCAAGGCTCTAAGTCCCGATGGGACGGCAGGGAGACACCACCCGGCAAGCGGGGGGGGCGGTGGCTGAGGGGCAGAATGTCTGCCACAGCTAAATGTGGAATGGAAAATTTTAACTCAGAGGTTTTCATTTAAATAGGTTCTTCATTAGCACTGTTTGTGTCTGAGAGTGGCACTGGCCCACAGGGTACCCGGGACAGGGACAACGGGGCAGGAACCACACTGCCCTGGTCAGGCCTCAGTCTCAAGACCTCAAGTGCCTGTACCCACCTGTTCCTACAGACACCTGTGCAAATGGGGAAACTGAGGCTCAGGGTACCAGGGGACCCCAGACCACACACAGCAAATCCCAGCAGGAGATTCACACTGTTTCCACCTCAGGTCCATACTCCCTAAGACCCCAGTCAGCAGCTCCATTCACCCTTGGACCAACTGAGCCTAGCCTGGTCCCAGGCCTGGTCTACCCACTGTCCTTGGCTGGGCCTGTAAGCATGGAGAGGACTCAGGCCCATCTAGGTACCAGCAGTGCCATCCAGGATGCTGTGGATGAAGAGATAAGACAGCCAGGCACAGCCCCAGGCATTGGAAGCCCACCAACAGCACCAGGCCTCTGATGTTCCCAGGATGCCTATCATTCTGCAATACTCTTGGGAGAGGTGGAGGCAGAAGGGGGGCAGGAGTGGGGCTGACAACTGGCCTAGGGGTCTTTGGACGCTCTCACCAGCATCTGACCCAACCTAGTTTTACTACAGTTTGAAGGGCTTTCACAGCCCAAGGGGACACAAGCCCCACCAGGAACCTAGGAAGGCTTCATGGAGTAGGAGTTCCTCTGAGAATCTGCCCCGTGCCATGCATCTCATCCTCAGAGGGAATATGCCTCCAAATCTGGGCATCTGTCCCATGCCCCAGCTTCTCCTAAAGAGATGTCTGAATGTCCTGCTGGTCCCACCCCCTTGGTGAGCTGGTTGAGGGAAGGGATCCTTAGTTCTCCAGGCCTCTAGCTCCCCACCCCAGAAGCTGACTCTAGAATCTCAGTTTCAAGAACAGAGGAAGAGCTGGTACTCAGCAGAGGGAAGCTGCCGACGGGACTGGGTCAAGTTTGTGGGATGGACATGCAGGACCCTTGGAAGTCATGCATGAGCTACCCGACCAAAGACCACATGGCCCAGAGCTGCAGGAGTGATGCCAGGTGCAGAGCAGTCCCTGAGGAGGAAAGGTACTTGAGGGCATCTGGGGGGGTTTAATTCCACAAGTTCTGCATAGGGAACACACACTGCTTTTAAAGTCACAAGAAGAGGGCAACCCCTTTGGGTCCCCTCCCACTGTGGGAGATTTTCTGTCCTCTCAATAAATCCTGGTTTCTCACTTTCCAAAAAAAAAAGTCACAAGAAGGGATATCAAGTTGCATTAGGGGAGTGCAAAACCGAGGCCTGGGGACTGGGACTGGCTGGGCCCACTCTCCAAAAGCCTGGGTAGGACGCATCCATGCCTGGTGCCCTGGCAGCTCACCGCCCGCCCCCTACCCCACGCCAGCAACATCTGAGTGACAAGAACACATCAGCTTGTCTGAGCCAGAAATAAGCCCGTCCACACAGGCCTTTTTTAAACCCGCTCCTGGCAGCCTGGTGCTCACCCAGCCCCAGCTTCCAGGTAGGAGCTCTCCTGCCTCCACGAGCACCCAATTCAGCCTCACATGCACACAGTAGCCAACTGCACTCTGGCAAAGGGTAAAGGGCACCAGGCGGCTTCAGCCCACCCCACTCAGGCTTGTGGCTTCAGAACAGGGGCCTTCCACAGACCTTGGACTGGTGGAAGGCAGTGGGTGGTCAAAGATCTGGCGACAGAAGCCTGGCACCCCTCTTCTCCTGCCTGGAGGAGCCCTGGGGTGACCCCATAGCCATAGGCAGTGCTGGGGGCACATACCTCTAGTTCTCAAGCAAGCCTGTGTCTTGAAAGAAGTTGAGGCTGGAGAGGCCTAGTGCCCTGCAGGTGTGGGTGCTCCCTACCTCCCCATGTCCCAGTGTGAGCCATGGCCAGCCCACAGAGGTGCTGGGCAAACATCTGTCCCTTGGGTGTGGCCTGGCCTGGGCCCTCCAGCTGTGATGACCCCCCAGGCTTTCCTAAGAGGTAGGCGAAAGGCCAGGCCAGGGTCACCAGTGGCTGTGGGCAGGCATGTGGCAGCCAAGTCAGGCCACACCTACGCGAGAACAACTTGGCTCTGGCCTGGGGCAGGCAGCCGGGAGGGGACCCAAGAGGCGCCCACGTCTGCCTGCAGGGACAGCTAGTGGTTTTGGGCGGCCCCTGTCCCCTGGTACGCCCCATGGGGAGGGAGGGTGCAGCCACACCCTGGGCAGCCTGGCCTACTCCTCTGTCCGGCTGGTGCTCCTTCCCAGGCCTGCCTGGCACACTTGTGAGGTACCCAGCCAGCCCTGTGCCCCCTGTTCCCACAAGACTCACCTGTCCCTGGGTCCCCAGGACTCCCACACCCGGCTTCAGCCCCAAGCCAGGACCAGGACTCACGTTGCGGCAGCCGGAGCCCGGCCCAGTCAG